CTCAGATCAGTAAAATGACAAGACTCATTTTGTTTCGACTCCACACCCGCCACAACATGATTGATTTCAACTCAAACGCTTATGCCTGGCTCGGGAGACGACTCCGGTAGCTGGCGAGTTTCAACAGGAGAAGATAATGTGAGATACCGACCTTTACGAGCACGGGGTGGGAGGTGTTTTGCAGGTTTTCTTGAAGTAACTGCCCATGGTAAGAACACTCCAGTACCATCACGCTGAGGCCTTCCTCCGGGGCTCATCACCATAGGGCGTACCGGAGCTAACATCACAACCGGTGCACGAAGAATCCCCCATTTGGGCATTACTTCCAGCGCCTCGTACCCATATGGGGCTCCGCTAGGCAGAGTGCATGCACCTGTAACTCCGGCTTGCCATAGAGACATGGCGTTCGACATYTGAGGGGTCGGTGATTGGCATTGATCGTAGTCTGGCCGGACTCGGAAGAACGTAATCGTGACCCTTTTGTTAGGAGATGCAGACATGACATGGCGTGCAACATCTGCACTGTTCCCCCTCATCACCAAAAGAGACCTGAAAAATTACACGCTTCTCATTATGAACATGGATTTTGTTGTTTCAGAATCATGATTGAGTACCAAAGTTAGATTTGAATGATGAGCCTGCTGCAAAGAGTCGCAACAAAATAAGCACTCTTTGAATTTAAGGGCATACCCTTCTTTCAAGGACAGCATGAGTGGCCCCTTGTAGTTGCCTTCGTTATCACTTACAATAGAACGCCCAAAAGCCATAGTTGATTCAGAAAGGAAGAGAGTGGAAATGGGTTGTTCCAAATGTGGAGGTTTCTGGAATGGCTGCGAGTACTCACCCTGTGAAGACATAACACACATTTTCCTTCAATTTGATTTCTTGCCATTTTCAGACATCATCAAAGAAAAACAAAACAAAACTCTGCTTTCAGACCAAAATCTGGACTTTTACTCTGGTCGTGTAATCTGTTGTTTAGAAATAGAATACCTCTTCGAAAAAGTTGACGAGACATCCATTTGGCCTTTTGTACTCTGGAATCAGTTGCCACTGAATAAGATGATCTATGACGGTCATAAGAAGAGCTGGAATTGGCTCTATGTTGCCTGTAAAGATGGAGAATATTATCATAAAAACTTATTATTATAAAAAAAMATATTAGGAATTCAAACATATTACCGATAATTAAAAAAAATAGCAAAAATTATGTTCAAGTGGTTATACTATTATTATAAAAGTCAAGTTAAATTTGTTCCACCATCTMTGAAAAAGAAGTTACTAATTCGTTGAATTAGTTCATGTTGACAATATAATTACCATAAAAGTTAGTCGATTCGAAACTTAATGACTTGACACATTGAACTATCTTCAAGTTGGCAATGTTATTTTTCTCRATTTGTGCATATCATTCTTGCACAAGTACCTAATCTAATCTTCTTTGTATAGTTTCAATTTTATCGGAGGTCCACGAAGCGACTCAAGTTGAAGATGTTATTATTATTATAGAAGTTAGCATCGGTTTATATGGGCAAATATAACATAGGTTTCAACGAAGTAAAATATTGGGACTGGTAATGCCATACTTGTTTGGCTGTTATTGGCGGATTCCTCTCTTATCTGTCCAAAAATGGGCACTCCAAGTTGGATCATCTCTCGCCGGTTGCCCTTCACCTGCTGATTGAATAAAACAAATGTCTCTCCTGCGCCCATTAAGAATATTCATTCAGATGCAGAACCAATGCAAACATCTTATAATGTTGGCTTTGGATAAGAAAATGATGTCACAGTTTGATTAATAAATTAATTTGAAGAAACTCTGGAGAAAGACCTTCAAAATAAGCATATCATATAGTTCCTCCAATTTAATAGAGCCACGGATAAAATATTGATCAATACTTCTGTCAACATTTTCATGAATGGAGAAAATGTTTCAAATAAAAATATCAGCAATATAAGTATATGAATAATGGAGGTGTCAAATATTTTTACAAATTTCCTTATCTCTATATTTCCCTTTTCATGAAAACCTGTTAGACACAAATATTTAAGGTCTTTGTCAACGTTCAAAGCCTCGAGAAAAGAAACAAAATGGAATGATATTTAGATGTTTTACTAACAAATTGACAGCCAAGAAATATAAATGCATATTAGAAGATTGAGTTTTTTTTTTGTTTCTTTTTCCAACACCTATCAATTTTTTGCAGAAGGGGTACGGTCCCAATCAAAAACAGTATTCAAGAAATGTAATGAAATAGTAAATGTTAAAGAGTTATTGCACAACTTCAATTATAAGGAAGTCAACTTCAAATGGCAATCAACTAAACATATTTTTCACCGAATTTGTATTTTAAAAAACAGGGCACAAAGAACTATAAAAAATCCAAAATGGAAGCTAAGATTGAAATTTAACCAAAATCAATAATAGAGAATCAAATGAAAGCAAGCAGGATAGGATACAAATAAAGATAAAATGAAAAAGAATCATCCAGAATGCTGATATGATTATGACAGAAGCAGAGGGAGAAACGAACCAGAGAGCTCCCCATTCTTTGCAGCAGAGCGAAGGTCCTCCACAAAATCATTCAACTTGGCCAATTCAGATTCGGTGAAAATGTCTTCATAACACTTCAATCCTTTCACAACATTCACCTGCCCACCAAGTGTCACCAAATGAAAACAGTAAAAACAAAACAAAAAAGAAACCACTTTCCCATTTTCAACAAAAAGGGGAATTGAATTGAATTGAATTCGATTGGATTGGGGGGAGTAAAAAAATTTTATTGAAAAGAAAGAACTCGCCATGTGCCCTTTTACTGGCTCCTTGGCGGAAAAACCTTTTGTCAACTTCATCTGCGCCGGACGTGCTTCACAGTCACCATGATTGCTGCATATCTCATCAACTTCTGCTGATGTGGCCTGCACTCCTCCTTGAGATCCTGTCCATTTTTTTTAATTCCCAAAAGAAAATAAATAAATAAAATTACATCTGAATCTCAATAAATTACTTAACAAACAAATAAACTAATGCATTTAATGAGATGGGGAAATTTAAAATATGTTCAGAAATGGAGCCAGATGGTTTTTTGCGCCTCCTTAGTCAACTCATTGTCCGTGACAAGTTTTATGCTATAAGCGGCCATCACATAGGCTTTGATTTTACAGGTCTAGATATTTTGAAATTACAATCTTGGTCTTTATAATTTATATATAATTTCAATTTTGTCCCTACAATTTAAAAAATTTTAATCCAGTATCAATAGGGTTGAGGAAAAATATGATTTTTTTTTTTTGTGAGTAAAACACATCAATAATTTGTAAGATTTATCAAAAATCATCAGAGAAAAACTTGAAACCAACCCAAATTGTAGGACCAAATTGAAACTTTTAAATCTGTAAGAATCAAACTAAGCTTAAACAGTAGAAATTAAACTCAGTTAAAACAAATTAGAACTATACAGGAATTACAAGGATGAAATTTGTAATTTAGCTAAATAAAAAGAATTTTACATATTAAATATATTTAAAATAAAGGGTATATGCAAGACCCACGCTCAACAATAAAAAATATATATAAATACATATTAAAATTTGTCGTCAAAGGCATTAAAAGAAAGAAAATGAAATATGTCAAAAAAGTCCCCTCAAACCTACCCACAAAAAAATAAAAAAAAAGAATAATAATTGTAGAAAATGGTTTGAGAGAAATGGACGGCTGAGATTGCAAGATGGGTTTTGATCTGATTAAACTAATCTTCCATCTSGAGGCATTTTAGCCTATCTGACAGTATTGGTCATTCCGGAACTAACTGTAGAATCTTGTAACAGCTTAACTTTTTCTTCCACCTCGAAATTCTCAAACCCTCGCTTAAACCTCGGGAAGATATTTGCCGCAGTCAATTTGGCTCGGAATTGAAATTTGTTGATTCTGTTCTTTGATTCTTTTGAAGGAGAAAAAGGAAATTTGCGTAAAAGTGAAGCTAGGGATTGAAAAAACGTAATGATTTTGATTTTCTGGCTTTTTCGGATGAATTGAAAAAGGTAGTTGGAGGAAATTCGTAGCTGAACAAATTTGACGAAAAAGGAATTCTGTGAAAAGACTAAAATCGTGGATCTGACTCTGAAATTTTTGTTTCTGTTTGAATCCTGTGAATGTGGAAAAGAATTTGTTGTTTACGCTTGTTGCTGGTTTCCTGAACAACAGTCAGAAATGCACAAACGTTTTCTGGATTCAGAATTTCAATCCTACTGTTCATCAAACAGAGACGGAATTTTGAGAAATTTCTCGGACGGATTAAAAATTTCAGAGATCAATTGTTTTTTTGGCTGTTAGATCGTGAACTGTGGCATTCGTGTTCAAGTTCCGAGATCAGGAGAAATCAAATTTGAAAAGTGAATTAAAAGAGAATTTCATCGATTGATTGAGAGAGAGAGCAGAATTATACTTACCTGAATCAGTAATCTCGCTGCCGATTGAATCTTCCTCTTCAATTGGAGCCAGTGCCTCATTTCTTCCGCCATCGATTTCGTTGTTCTCCATCGGCATCTCCTCGATCTTCGCCTTCTCTTCACCAAATTCTCTCTCATCCAAACACATCTCACCTCCATTTTCCTCCTCTTCGTTCATCTTCTCCTCCTCCTCCTCCTCCACCATTTGAACATCGCCCTCGCCGGCCGCGTCTCCTTTCTCCTGCTTCTTCTTCGCCGTCACTTTCTTGAGCTCCACCGCGACGTCGGCGATCGGATGATACTTCTGCATTTGCAGGACCGGGATCCAATTCAGCCGCCGTCTATGAATCGCAGCGAACACTGCTTCGTACTCCGATCCACTCTCACTGCTCACCTGCCCCAAGTGGCCACACAGCGCATCAATAATCGCGTTCGCCGCCGCGAACTCCCCTCGAAACCACGCCAGGACCGCATCCTTCGCGATTGCGTCCGTCACCGTCACCGCCGTCGGCGCCGCCGGCACCACCAACTGCCGCCCTCGATCAGTTGCCCCCGCCGCCATCGGCATCAATAAATCCCAATTTCAAAAACCTCCCCCCCCTACTCCTCAGAAAAATCCCCCTTTCCGATTTCGAATTCTCCCAAATTTCGGAACAAATCGTTATACTTCTTAATTCAGCACACCCTCAAATCAATATATATATGTAAATGTGTATATTTATATATATATTTCATATATATATCTAAAAATATATATATGTGAAAATTTATGTGTCAAAGTGTAAAAGGAGAAATCGTTTGTTTCTTCTCTGTAATTGGCAGAGAAATGAGGAAGGAGCGTTAAGGCGCCTTTTATATATGGGAACTGTATGACGTGGCGCATTTTGAGGGGTGGTGACGTGGCAGGGTCTTTTTCTTTTTCTTTTTAATTGTTAATTTGAATAAACTAGGAATTAAATAAAGTGATTAAACTCTTTTAATTTTTATATTGTACTTTTGTTTATAAATAATTAATGTGTGCTGCAAAAAAATGTAGCGAATTCTAATCATGGTGTTCCATTTCCAATAATGGTAATGTATCTTAGTAATACGGAAAAATTTAGATTTTTTTTTTTCTAATTCAATATGCTTAATCACACATTTTGTTTTTAATCATATAATTATGTTGGCCTTGGCCTAGCTGCTTTTTAATTGTCTTTTTAGATGGGGGCGCAAATGTTGGTCTTACTTTTGTAGAATTTATTAGTTTATTGGTTAATATTACAAATTTTGCTCGTGAATTTTGACGAGTGTGTTTATTTAATCTTTGAAGTGTTAAATTTTTTTAATTATGTTCTAAAACTTTCGATTTTAATTTGTTTTAATAAATCATTATTGTTAATATCATTGTTTAAAGGTTGAATGACATTGTGGTTGATCTCATGAATGATGATTTAACACATTAATTGTGATACCATGAGTGAATTATTTTATTTAATTAGTTGACTTATTCTCTTGTGTCCAGTGCTATTAAGTCAAATTATCTCTTGTTACTAGAGTCAACCTATCACATGATCATTAGGTCAATTGGTTAAGGCAATTATCTCTGACCAAAAGGTCATAAGTTTGAATCGTCACCCTCACCATCATGTTGTATAAAAAACCCATCAGGTGATCACATCAACATCATTTAAATAGTAGTTGTTAACAACATGTGGGTTTGTAAAAAAAAATATAATTGCAAGTTTAGAAATATAATTGAAACTATTTTAAAGTTAAAAAGACTAAATAGATGAACCATTAAATTTGTAATTTAACATAAAATATACAAATTAAGAGACTAAAAACATAATGGCTTAAGAAACAAAATAGACGAAAAAGCATGAAAAATTAGAAGCATAAGATATGATTAAAAAAATAGAATTAATGGTTGGGTAGAAGTGGTTCTAGTTTGAAGTTTAAAATGTCGATGTCGATAAAAATGTCGAGGTCTCAATTCACCTGAACTGGTCGAGAGAGATGAACCCGCTCCACATACATTTTCTAATCTTCGCGAGGAATTTCCCTCGTCGAGTAATGGGAAGCGGGCTAGTCCCCGAAAATGCTCGTTCCTTTGTTGTTGGGATCGCCATTAAACGACTTATTAGCATATTTCTCGATCACTTTGGAACGTAATCAACACCTGAATGATCAAACAATTTTTCTTTGAATACTCAAGGAGATTTGGAGGACCAGCAAGGTGGGGGGAAAGAGCGATCGCACCGGCCCTTCTCCTTTCCGGGTTTGGATTTTTCGCGTTGTTTCAGTCGTTTTATAAAAATATCAAAAATTTCGATGTAATATTTTTTWAAAAAAATTTAAAATAAAAAATTCACAATAAATATTTAACCTAACAAATAAAGTTTTTCACCATATTTAAATAAGTTAAAAGTTATATTAATATTAATAAATATGTCTATGTTAGGGTTTTATTTATATATGTTTTATCAATTATTCGATACTATAAAAGTGTGCACTTTTACACACTTTTTTTTAATATGTGAGGTAGATATTCGAATTCACGATTTTTGATCGGAGATACGTATCTTTTTCCACCACTTTGACCTCAGGAAAATAACATCCAATTATTTTGGTATTACTCTCAGGCATATTTTTGTTCTTCTTTTTTTCTCTCCCCTTTTAATTTTTAACTTCAACTAAAAGTTTTATTATATGACTAGTCAATGTGCCTTAGTCTCACATCATGGATTTTGTCCTTTTTAACATTATGCATGATTTATGCATTTATGTTTTAGTCCATATAGTTTTATTTATAAGCATATCGATTAAGTCTCCGACATTATTTATCCAATTAAATAATAACAAAAATTAACGTTGGCGAGAGTTAGGTCTTTCGTGTAAAGGTATAGTCGGATTTATAAAGTCCCATGAATTACTAGTAAGTTTTTGGGACAAAATAAATGTGGTACTTTTCCTTAGGTCTACCATCCAAGGGATGTTCTCAATAGGCTATGAATCAAGTTTATAATATTTATTTTTTAATTTACAAAAAATAAATTTATTTTATGAAATTGTTTGTTAATAATTTAGCGCATTTAATAGGTTTTCTGAATTTTTCGTTCGCTCCAAGGATCAAACGAGACTGCAATCAAAAAACTCGATGCCGGTGCGGTATCCCGCCTAAGGCACTCCGACGCTCAAGTTAATAATAAGAATAAGAGAGTAGGGTAGACACCTGAGGATTTCAGTGACACATTTTCCATGTAAAGGTGAAGTCCTTTCCTTTTATAGGTGCGGATGGCCGACCAGGAAAGCCGACCAGGAAGTGGTAGGGGCGCGCCGAACAGTACAAGGTCCTGACGGTGGAATGTACGTCCCCGACAATCAATGGGTAGCACCCCCATTTGCAGGCCTGCAACTTATCGTTTGCAAGTATCAGGTGACAATCCTCGACATGCCCGCATGCCAACACAGTGTACGGTGGTAACCGTTGTTTGTGGTCTAGCGCCTCTCTGTCGCTCCCGACATCGAACGCGTGTCCTACTCAAATTTACCCACTAACAATTACAAACATATTTTTCAATAAATATAAAAAACAGTAAAAACAGAGTTATATTTTTATTTATTAAAAAGAAGAAACAATAAATAATAAATCAGAAAAAATAATGTTACCAAAATGACCATATCAAAAGAAAAATAATCTATAATCTCTATTCCTTTATCATTCTCTCTCTTCTTTCTAGCCATTGCTGAAGTGGAATCTTCCCTCCATTAATTATTGAGGCAAAGATCTTTCCAACTAGAGAGAGAAAAATAGGTAAGATATTAAGAAGTTATATTCCATATTCTCTTTTTATTCTCATAGCATTTTCCTCTTTATCTTTTTTTTTTCCATTTATTTATACAAATTGTTAATATTGATTTCTTTTCTTTTACAACATAGTTTTAATTAACTTAAGCCAATTTTCTATAATTATTTAGACTCAATTTTACCGTTTAAGTTAAATTTATTCTTTATAGTTTAGAATTTTTTTCTAAAATCACTTAGATTTTTTTCAAATTTTCACTTTAACTCTAATACAATTAACTGACCCAATAAATTAAATAAAAAAGGTACCAACTCATCATCGTTAGAAAATAAAATATATATATATATATATTTCATATATTAATATGGTAATGACGGTGACCAATTGTAAAGTATGACAAATTATAAAATCCAATTTAAGCTTTCAAGACGATAGATACCAAATTAAAACATTTAACAGAATTGAAACTATGTCTAGAACATTTTATTAAAAAAAAAATATATGCGTAGAACATATGATGAAATTTATGAGGTTTAAATCCTATTTTGGTTCAAAATTTTTAGATTTGTTTTATTTTGACATTCAAAAAGATTTATTTTGGTTTCTAGATGTTTAGGTTTGTTTCATTTTAGTCCCTAAACTTTCAAAACATGATCAGTTTGGTTCTTATTTATATTATTTTATCAACTTACATCCAATACTCACCTCTAACCATGATTCTAAATATTCGTCGATACGTCAATATTTCTATCGACATGTCTATGTTTTTATGGGTTTGATATCGATATGAGGGATAAATCGACATTTCATCATAGTACAAAAAAATCGACAAAATATAAAAAATATCAACAAAATGTCACTAATATATACATAATATCAATATTAATTATTTTGTAACTTATTTAGAAATATGAAAATGTTTATTTGTTAATTTAAATATTTTTTACGATTTTTTAATTTATGTATTACAAAAATATCAATCGACATCGACATTTTATCGATATTTCCATCAATATTTCCATAAAATCGAGACCTTGACATTTTCATTGACATCGATATTTAAAACCTTACCTCCAACTCATGTAACTTAAATATATGTATCTGCATTAACACATTAGTAGTACTTGAAAATTATATTATAAATTAATTAAAAGCAATGTAGAGATAAAAGGGTCAAAATATTACTTTTTTTTAAGTTCATGATTAGAATATAATTTAAATTAAATTTAGTTAAAAAAATTTGATCAGTGTACTTTTGCTAATACAAATGATTTAGTCTCTGAAATTTAGTTTGTAATAATTTAATCTCTGTATTTCTAAATTGGTAATAATTTAATCTCTAGATGTATGTAACAATCTACCATAAAAAATCTCATTAAAATTAAGTGTCGATTTTTATCATGTCACGGTTTAGTCTTTATAATTTATAAACACATTTGGTCCCTCAATTTATCGATCTACATATATAAGAAACTGAATAAAAAAAATTTACAATAAGGACAAAATCGTTACAAAACTTTAAATTATATGAATTAAATTGTTACCAATTTAAAAATGTAGAGATTAAATCGTTATAAGTTTTTTTTAGTACACCATCTAGGGTAACGAATCAAACTCACAATTGAAAATATATGTTAATTATCGCTGAGTTATAGTCACTCTGAACATTAAAATTTAAAGTTCATGAATTATTTTTATATGTTGAAATCTTAAAATTTAGAAATTAAATTGCTACTCCAATCAAAATATAAAAATCAAAAGTAACTTTTTTTTACCAAAGGAAAATAATAGAACAATGAGTAGGAAAAATGGAATCATGCTGACGTCAGCAATTGTGGTGGGGCCTTGGATAAGAAATAAACTTTTTATTATTAACCTAAAAAAGAAACATGAATGATGATGAAGAACTAAGAAGAATATGACATGTGTGTGGGCCCCACGCAAGGGGCGAAAAAGATAATAGCTTTCCACCGTCAACGGTATGTGCCCCTTGGGTTTAGTGAACAGTGACTTT